GGTTTGTATAAGCTATCCAGTTCTACAACAACGAAAAAAAACGTCATTAAAGGTTAGTGAGTCATGCAGTTATCCAAGGAATGGGACCATTCCCTATAGAGGTTTTACCGTAGGAACCTGATTATAATTTAATAAAACGAGTACTGAGTCGATAACCTAAGTATATCATTTTATAAAACCTTATGGTAAGATTTAATTTGAGTACCGGCCTTTACTCGTGTACACATGTGGTAACAGAGATTCCATTGCACAGTTTTTGTTTCTTTTAATTTGGTTTTTGTTTGCTTTTTTCACCAAATGTCTTGAGGGTTGTTCTAATAGAATCAATTACATTCTTATAACTGTAGGTATTTCATACACATATTTGTCCGGGCACTAATAGAGGAATAACTGTGAGGAATGATATTTCGAAACTAAAAATGTATAGTCAGTTCGACTAATTATTTTGTAAGTATTCTGGTAAATTTGTATACAATACAATATATGCGTAGCTAAGACAAGTCGATACAAATAGATACAGTATTTTAACCCTGCTTACAATAGTAATGCCTTTGTGAAGTCCGTCGAAAACCTTCACTTCCCTAAGACAGATTTTAAAACTGTCTTCTGTCAACTCCTCCACCCACACTGCCATGGCGTCTTGAGGTCTCTCAGGAAACTGGTGACTAGGAGTCGCAAGTACGATTGGAGGAGTCGCAAAACGCTTTAAATAAGGAAAGAAAAAATATGAATGAGTTAAAGGACCCTGAAAAAAAAAAAAAAAGACAAAGGAAAGTTACAGCTCATTCATCATGGTGTAAACACCAAAAATTATAATCAGAGACCGTAGTAAACAGTGCTTCATCTCTGTACAACAACAACAGCAGCAGCAGCTGCAACAATAACAACAAGAATCTTTCTGATTTATTTATACGCGCGGACTTTCACCCACATACAGAAAAAAAAACCTCTTTTGGAAGGAGACACTCACATTGAAGCCGTGAGAAAAGGACAAAAAAATATTTTACCAACAGTACCAGCTATCGTAAAATATAATTACTTTGTGTAAAGTTATTTAAATTACAAAACGAATTTGGCCAAAAATAAAAGTTATATCTCCTAATATCTTTCCTAAATAGTTTAATTTCAGTTTGTGTACTGTCTTTAATGATTATATTTCATGAAAGATTCTCTAAATAGAGTTACGGTGGCGAGCGTAAGCCTGACTTCTAATGCCAATGTTTTATTGCTTTTCGACTCGCGTATATGAGAGTGTAATATTAATCAAATACGGATGAAAGAGTGAGAGGGTTTGAGGTCGGGGAGTGGGGGTAGGTGATAATATGAGTGGGATAGTGTGGGTCATGGAGTGGACATCTGTCTTAGTTATAATACTGCATGTTTAAAAAAAAAAAAAAAAAACATCCAAACAAAACACAGGAAAACAAAAGAGGGAGAGCCGCGCAACAAAAGATCATAGTACAAAGTAAGCTGTTTCATTGTATTAATCGTTCTGAAATTAAAACAATCTAAAAATTTCCCTTCTTAGACTTTTATCGTCATTTCCTGTTAAATCATGACGTCTGTGCATAATAGCACGTACATTGTACTATAGGTAATTGAACTTGAAACTTAAGTGACGTCAATTTATTGATTGAACAGCTGGTTAAGTTCCTTAACAAGAATCGCATTTGCGGTCTTGAGTTACATCTTTCAACTATACCTTACATGACTGACCAGTTTCTGCCTTTTTTTAGATTAATTCCGCATAGGCACTTTGTAGGTAATCATAGCATAATTGAACGTACCTGAGGAAAGACGATCTTCTTACATTCTGTTCCGGTAGTCCAAGAGTCCAAGGAAGTGGTTCCTAGTTGTGCTCCTTTGGGAGCAGATTGTAGGGCAAGCCAGTTTATCTCAGCAGTTGAATTTGAGCCGTTGCTGTACTCGTAGATACAAGCGCGGAATTGAGTTCTATCTTCCGATTCCACCCAAATAGAAGCACCATTACCACGGGCCTGGTTGTTAACCGAGTGACCAAACGCAGCAAACACTTTTACTTGCTTTCCACCAGAGAACGATTCAGCGAATGTGATTGTCTCACAAGCGAACAACCCTGGACTTTTGACAGTGATGTTGTTTTTTCCAGCTTTGAAACTGATTGCTATAAGAGAAGAAAAGTGTCTTAGTAAAAGTAAGCTCCCGATGCCTCTTGGCTATTTACGGTGGCTGCAATATTTTTTTAATAATTTCAAAACGCGTTGAGCGCAATGGCCTTGAACATAGTTCCGTAACTTGGGCTTTCCTTGCGCGCCCCACCCCCGATTCCTACGTTCTTTCTTGAAATGAATCTTTCATGAATTTTACCGTAGAAAATGACCATCAAATATCAGCATTCAAAAGCATATTCTGAAAACATTTCAATAAGCAAATACTTCATGGTACCTTGACTTCCTTGAGCAAGAAGCACAGCAATGCATACCGCGTAGAGGACAAACGGAAGATGTTGCTCTCCCACCATCTTGACTTAACTGAGGAAATGCTTCCTCTCACGCGACTAATATACAGATTGTCTTTACGTGAAGGCATCATTTCTGTTGCGTGGACAGATGATGGAGCAGTAAAGCACCAAATTACCAAAAATGGACAAACTTTATCAAAGTTCTGAAGTTAAGGTCGAGTAAAGGGGGGAAACACTCGTCGGAGAATTGGCCTAACTATTGCAGTAAATCATTCTGATTTCACAGAAAAATGACCGAAGAAAGAAAGAAAGTAGAACTTACGTGAACTCCCTCAGGCCCCTTTTCTCTCCAAGTATTTCTCCCCCTCTCACTGTTTTGCCCCTTAGTGGTTTAATCAAAATAATAAACAAATAAACATCTTCCCTTCACTTCTCCATCGTACTAAGTATCTGTCCCAAACAAATAACGCGAATTTTTGCATATACTTACCTTATTCCTTTACCTTCCCCTTTTCCTCTATAGACAACTTCTCCAACTGCATATTAAATGTTTCACTGTAACTTTTCGCTCTAATGCAACGTTCCCGTGATGTACTATTTTGCTTTGGTAGTGAAGTGTCAAGAGTTGCGCAGCTTCTTTTGTGTCTGATATTGCAAAGGTCATTGACGGTTTATTCCCTTTTCTCAAAATGAGCACAGAAAATTTTGCTCAATCAAGAAGAAGTAAAAATAAGTTCCACCGGTGCCATACCATAGCCATACAAAGTGATTGTTTAAGAAATGCATTACCGCTATGATGCATTTGTCAGTTTTTTTCCCTTTGTTTCTCTGTGTGTAAGTGTTGGAAGCTAAGAGAAGATTATAGCGTTCAATCCCTTTAACGAATTAAGCTTTCCAAAGCTTTTAAACTTTTAAATAGGTTTAATATTTGTGATGTCTGATTTAGACCAACAAAGAAGTAGGAAGCTACTAAAGAAAGTTATTTCTCCAAAACTGAATAGTTTCAATTTGGATGAAAATGCTAGACCATTCGAGTTCTTCAAATTCATCCCTTTTGAAAGTGATACCTAACAAAAAATCCTGCTAATGGCGAGATTAGAACGCACAAGAGGCGGTTCCAACACTAAAAAGGTCACTTTAACGTGCATAGCTATCTCCTATTCCCTCCCCACTTCATCTGCCCAGCGCTTTCAACGCAGGATTTGCTTACAGTACGTTTTAGTCATTTTTTTTTATAACAAAAAAATTGGTCTAAACGACCAAATATATTTCACCACCCTTGGGTGGGGGCACTAGTCATAATTTGAATGAATTTAAGTTCTCGCTGTTATTCTAAGAGAAAATGGCCAGTTGAAATTCCTGCTAACGACCGGTTTGCGTGATTTGATTCAGTCTTTCTCAGTACGCCCTGGTTCATTTCTCTTTTCGAAAATTCTAATGTCCTTTTGTTAACACTATATACTTCCCAATATAACCCCAGTGAATTTCATTGTGTTTTTACAATAATTTTTAGTAATCTGAACCTCAGGAGAAGGTCATCCCTAATGACATCAAAGACACCCGCACTGCACGAATTGCCTGTTTACTAACTAAAGATGCCGCACGTTTCCCAATTTTTGCTTTAGTCTTGATTTTTTGTCTGCACGTTTTCTTTTGTATTGTACATTTTAACCGATTATGACTCGGAGGATCATCTGACTAATGGGTTACTGAACACTGGCACGAAAAATCCAGCTCTTGACGAAAGCAAACAAGGCCGCTCGCATTGCTTCATTTGTTTAATTCGGGCCCCTGAGCCCTTGAGCTTTATAAGAGAGAATTGGGGGCCTGTGTAATCCTCTCTTAGTTTCTGCTATGTCATGTTATGACAGAGCACATATATTGGCCTTCCTTAAAATTTTTATCCCGGTAAACCTGAGCACGTCACAAAAAAGTTACTGGGGGAGGAGAGAGTATGAATAATGAGCTAATGACACAGCATAATAAGGTCGAACTAAGGAAGTCAATAAATATACCGTAAAAATAATCGTTATGATAATAACCTTTATTTTAAGAGGGTGACACCAATTATGGTGGAACAATTTGAAATTGATTTTAATTTCAAATTAAAATTGCTTCAGATTAAGACTGTCGAAATGCTATATCTTTTTAGCAGAACGTGATTTCATGCAAAGACGAATTTCTTGTTACTTAAGAACAGCAAAAGAAAGTTGCGCCGGAGTTTACTTTAAATCTGATTTAAATGCTGTTTTAATGTGATATCACCTGGTAAACGTTACTATGACAACACCCCTTGAAAAAGTGTTGTGTACGAAATACGGAAATCCTTTATTCCTCCAGCAACCTTCCAGCAACCCTGTCATCTTACCTTCATTTTCTATCCATTTATGTCACGTTCAGCCCAATCACACTAGTACTCATGCATCATCGACCCTTCTCCTTACGCAGTCCTCACTTTTGACACCATATTTCGTAACCAGAGCAACCGATTGTCGTCAAAGTTCATTTTATTGCGGTTCTCTGTAACATTTTGAATCAGAGTAGTCAAGCAGCTATTAGTCTCACGAGTAGTCTCAAAGAGTGCGGTCGAAACATTAGTACATGTATGGATAAAACACGAGTCTATTTTTTTTTTTTTTTTTTCCTTTTTGTTTCCTTTTAAACGATTTCCAGTTGCTGTTTATATATTCGTCGTGGTGAAACAGATCTTGACAAACCCCTTATAAAAGGAATACCGCGGTATAACGAGGCCGAGTGCATTCCTCGCCGTACTTACAGTGATATGAAACATACTTTAAAACTGTCTTTGGTCAGGTCCTCTACCCACACTACCATGGCGTCTTGAGATCTCCCTGGAAACTGATGACTGGGAGTCGCAAGTACGATTAGAGTAGTTAAAAAACGCTAAATTAAGCAAAGAAAAAGGTTTAGACGCACAAGCGAAGCGCTTAGTCTAATATCTCAAGCAAACTATGGAAGGAAAAACGAACGGAGATAACTGAGACACAGTGGTCCGGAGAGGGAAAAGGGACTTCAAATTTACTGAATTAAACCTACTCTTGTGATACTCTTAATACGTGCTAGTTTGAATGACCTACTTTGTTCAACTCGTTCAAATCCAAAAACAGATGAAATTATGTAACAAAGCTCGCGTACTAATATATTTCGTTTTGTTTCAGAATTGATAATAATTGCTTTATCATTCGATCACAAAGTTTGTTTTTAATGAATATCTTCGGGAAGCGAAGTGATCTGCCTTTTTGTCGCGCAAGAATGATCGTAAGAAGGAGAAAAGCGTGGTTTCGTTTACGCGTGAGCAGAATCAGTACTATTTGCAGCCAAAGGGGTGGCGATGCTCGTCGTCTCGCTTAGGGGTGTAAATTTCGAATTTTCGTCTCACTTGGGTGTTCTGGGCATTAGGGTTGCACGCGAAAAAATACAAAATATATATTGTCTGTGTCTTAACATGGTCTCTTTTAGGGGTAAAAAAAAAGCATGGGCCACGCCCCGATTGGTCTCCTTTAGGGGTTTCATTCAAAATTTCCGACGAGCATCCCCACCCCTTTTATATGCGGAGCCCCCCATACGTTGTCATACATGCTGCGCATGCCTAAAAACAACTTGAAGATTATGCCGATTGCGGGCGACCGCGTTTCGGGCCCCTCCGGTCACCCGCAATTATTTGGTTTGATTCCAACCAGGAGTCTATTCCAACAAAATCACTGTCTCCCTTTTGAAGAAGATCGAAAACGCGCACAGAGAGATTAGTAGCCCAAGTTCTAACGGATGACGCCTTTCGTCTGAATTTCAGACATTCGTAAATGCTTGACTCGTTTTAAATGATTAAATGGCTTTTGCCCCTCTTATCTCAACAACATATTCGTACTATCTTTAGAATGTTATGGTTACGTGTTATTCATTCTTCTAACTTTTAACTTTCAGTTTATATTTACATAGCATGATCAGTGCTCAACTGTTTAAATTCTCTCATGGTAAGTAAAGTTCAATCATTTATTTAATCAAAAAACTAATCAATTACCATTTCCTTCCCTCCTTCCTTCCTAATTCCTTTCCACATCGTTCGAGGCATACCGATTTTTCAATATAAGTGACATTTATCATTACCACGCATGTTCGAGAACGTGTGTTAATTCCGCGTCTCAGAACCAATTAAAACTGATTTTTGCCGAAACAACAATTCGGGATCTCTTCAAAGTTTATTCAGAAGAGAACTAAAAACATATCTCCCAAAATCCGAAGACTGAGAGAATTATTTCCTGCACAGGTACCTTGTATATTTTTCCTTTTCCTTTCCTTTCCTTTTATTTATTTCTTATTTGTTTGTTTATTTCCTTATGCTGATATGACTTTTGTTTGCTTGTCTTCATGCATGTTCGCGTCCTAAAATAATTATTTACTAATTAGTGCATGATATATTTTTTAAGAATGAAATAAGGTATAAACATTCATTCATTCATCCATCCATTCCTTGATCCTTCCTTCCTTTGTCTATTCTGGCATTCATTCAATGGATGAGCAATTGGATTCGGTGAGGCACCTTTTGCAGTGGAACTTCAAAACGAATGACAAAATCGTCATACCTAACATGCAGGTGAATATGTGTTAGTTAGTGGGACTGCCATTCCAAAATGCAAGAGATCGAAAAAAGAAAATCAGGCTTCCAACTATGCAAAAAACCTTTTTTTTCACGGACTTTTAGAAAGAACAACGTTCTCGACCGTTCAGTCCAGTCCATGAGGTACATTATTTGTTATTTCACTTTTATGCTCATACAGTGTATTGCGCAACTAACCTGGGGAAAGTCGATCTTCTTACATTCTGTTCCAGTAGTCCAAGAGTCCAAGGAAGTGGTTCCTATTTGTGCTCCAGAGGGAGCAGATTGTAGGGCAATCCAGTTTATCTCGATGGCATTTGAGCCATCGCTGTACTCGTAGATGCAAGCGCTGAATTGACTTTTATCTTCTGATTCCACCCACAAGGCAGCACCAGTACTTGAGTTGCTAGGCGAAGCAAACACTTTTACTTGCTTTCCACCGGGA